ACAGATTTGCAAATCTTTCCCCGTTTTCGTTTCTCTCTCCCAGTCCATGTAGTCCCATGATGTCTTCATATCCGGTGTTGTCCATTCCGACTTTGGCGTTTAGATCTCCTATCAGAATGGTGAGGTCCTTCCTTGGGCACTTCTCTATGATTGATTGCAGCCTCTCATAGAATTGATCCTTAACGTCGTCGTTGCTATCATTGGTGGGTGCATAACATTGGATAATGTTCATTGTGATCCCCTCCTTCTTTGTTTTGAATGATGCTTTGATGATTCTGGATCCGTGAGATTCCCATCCTACAAGTGCATTTCGTGCTACTTTGGATAGCATTATAGCAACTCCCTGAGTGTGTGGAGCATTTTCCTCTTCGTGACCGGAGTATAGCAGCATCTCTCCCGTATTTAGCCTTTGTTGTCCAGCTTGGGTCCAATGGGTTTCACTGATTCCCAGTACTGCCAAGTTGTATCTCCTCATTTCCGTTGCTATTTGACTGGTCTTCCCGTTCTCCCACATTGTCCGGACGTTCCATGTACCTATAAAAATTGTTGCTCTGGTTGTTAGAAGGGGCATCGGCCTCGTGGCTTCCGAAGGAACTCGGCTTTCACCATGAATAGTCATATTACCTCTAACTCCCAGGGCAGAGTTTAAATGGTTTGAGTTATTTTTTCTGGTTAGCGTTTTTTAGCGAGTTAGGTTTCTACGGGATGGGGACGCTAACCCCATGCCGAACCCTCCTCCTTTACCCGGGCTTGGGACCGGCAGTAACTCTGGAAGAGCTGCAGGCGGAGTTGGTGTACTGATAGTAGGTAAGAATAATAAAATACGATAACAAAAGTCTTATCAATAGTTAAACATTGGGAATAGTAGGTCAAACATGGGTAAATGGAGTAGTTATCACAAAACATTAAAATCATTACGTAATAAGAAGTGTGTAAATAATTAGATTGTGAAGAATACAAACGGAAAGAGGCGGATAATTCCAAACAAATAATGGATGTGTAAATAACGGAGAGTTGTACATATCGAGAACTGGGCGTAGAGGAAGGCCCGGTTTATGAACTTTGGTGTACATGATCCAGTCGGCTTAATTGAGTCATGAATCTCAGCCGTAATTATTCCCTTTTTCTTTGAATCCTTAAGAAAATTAGCCAATTGTTTTTCTACTTTATTATTGATATCATAATTACTAGTAACTTTCTGAAATTTGTTGGGATCACTAAGCATAGCTTCCATTTTCTCGATGTAATCTTTTTTGTTCATGAGAACTATACCTCCTCCTTTATCTGATTTGCTTATGATCAGCGTTTCATCTTTTCTTAGTTTCATTAAAGAGTCTCGGTGCTGCTTGGTTAGTAGGTGATTTGTGCTACCCTTACTATTCTTGTATTGTTGGCAGCTATCAACTGACGTGGTCTTAAACCGAGCAAGATCCTCCAATGAGGTAGGAATCAAGTCAGTTGTTTGTGAAAATAGATTCTCAAATTGTAAATCAGTGTCTAATTGGTTGATTCTATGCCAACTATCACAGAATTGAGGCCCCAGAGATAAAGCTTCTAGCTGTATTACATCTAGTTCAATATTGGAAAAATTATGTACGTACCGTTTCGGGTCGAAAGGAAACTGCTTCTCAGGCTTTCGGTCCTCCAAAGTTTTCATTAGTTTTGTCAACATTTTTCAAGATCTGTTTTTTTTTTGGAAAATTTCTCCACATAATCCATAAACATCGACTGTAGCTCTGAAGGCAAGCTTCTAACTGAATATTGTCTTTGAAGAAGATTCCTTTCCAAGTCGCATATATTCATTTTTAAAGTGTCAATTTGATTCGAAGCATGTCTTTCAAGTGTTTTAGCATTCGGATAGATTCTGTTGCAACGTAACTACTCCATTTACCCATATTTGACCTACTATTCCCAATGTTTAACTATTGATAAGACTTTTGTTATCGTATTTTATTATTCTTACCTACTATCAGTACACCTGTCTTCCTACTATCAACTTGTACTTTTATCTATTATGTGTGATGACTTATCCCATTTCATTATAATTACTGACCCAAAATTGCCTTGATTGGTTTAACATTTTCGTATAAATATTACTGTATATTAGAGTAAAGCCTGATGAGATTAAATATAACACTAGGATATTAAAACTGTTATTTATTCGGGTTCAAATATTTCAGTTCATGTTTTCATCCTTTGTATTCTTTTTTAAAGAAAAACAAACAAACAATGGAATTCTAATTTAATGGTCAAATTGAAATTCATTGAATCAAGGGTTGCTGTCTGTTATATTATATCAATTCGGATTTAAGGGTGGATATTGAATACATTCCTCAAAAAGGTTATCAAGTGTAATGATAATAATAATAATAACAATGATAACCACAGTGGTTAAAAAATAATAATAATAAGTTTGGGACATAAATGAACATTAACCAGATTACGTCACCATATTATAAAATTGATTATTAATTAGTTCGCCCCAAAGTTGGCCAGGGTAAAAGGAGTGGCTGAACATATTTTTTTTAGATGCAAAGCTCTGGCTTTTTGATCCGAATCATCTTCAGCCGTCTGTAGGATTCGCGGTCTGACAGAATTAGGTAGACTGCTGTTAACACGACAGATTATTGCAAAAGATTGCTCCATGTTGGCTGTATGTCCTGTCTGAACTAGATGGTCTAAGATGGAGCTGTTAACAATTTTGACTACACCTTTGCTTAACCACACAGGGAGGTGCTATGAGCCCGAATGTACAAATTCCTAGAACATCTGCCAATAGAACGTGCTCCACAGGAGCAGTTGAATTGATAGATACAAAAAGAGTTGGCTAGTCTAGGTAATTTATCTTTCAACCTCGGAGTGATTATTGGTCGTGTGGAGAACATTAGTCGTAGTTTATTCGCATTATAATAGTCCTTTGAATTAATCTGCTTAACTTAAGTCTTAGCATTTCACTCGGTGCATCGCCTCTTTTGTTTTTTTCAAAATATACAATTTTTTCAATTAGTACAGTTTAACAATATTCGACGGGATTAAAAATAAGAATAATCTGCACATAATACATATTTCAAAGACAAGTGTTTTAAAAAGGACTGATCTCAGTACATCCGATTCATCCTTGCACTAAATGTGCATTTCCTCTTGACACAAAATTAAAAGCTATTTCATTAGAAATAACATAACTCTTTTTTAACTTCTGAAATATTTATTTCCCCTATTTAAGTGTGCATATTTGCTTTTAACCAGTAAACATTACTTGAAAATGATAAAAATAGTTCATCATATGGTTCTACAGATCAGCTGGATTTTGACGGTTTAATGTAGACTTGCCTTCTATAAATTGTATAAAAGGGAATTTCCGTAAGGTATGTAAAATCTAAAACCTGCTTTGTTATCAGTCACTTTGTACTTTTGTTATATTCTGGGTCATTCATACAGTTTGTTCTTCAGTAATTTCAACTGTTCCTCAGTTATATTAAAAATTATACTGAATTATTTTTGGTATCCATTAGGAACTAATTTTTAATATTGTCATCTATTTCATAATCTCCTACTCTATGTAAGGAGGTAATTAGAACTGATCCAAAGTAAATTCTTTCAGTCATTTATTAGTGACTTGCGTCTAAATCTGTGGTGCATTCTCTAAATAATCCTCTAAAAGGTTGTGGTAAGCATGAAATACAATTATCTGATAGTAATCAGTTTTAATACTCAACTCAATTTTTAAAACTCTTCAGCAGACAAATTTTCATACTAAGTAGCCCAACATTACTTTTCATAATCTTCACATTTACTGCTAGATAAATCGAATAAATTCAACCCTTGAAATACATATAGTGGTAGTAGATTCATAATATGAGTAATAATTGTTACAGTTACACTACCCGCATACGTGAAAGCATGGTTGTTAAATTTTTTAGTCGAGAATCGATTTCCCTCATCCAAATTTCTCCATAATTAAAGCGTATTTGACAAGTTTATCCGGTCAAATGTGATTAGACTGAAAGATATTGGTATTTCATAATGTCATTATTTATTAGTCTAATTAGTGTAAGAAGATATAGGTTCATCCTCGCTTTGCATTTCGATGTACACTGAACTAATGATCGAAGACGCTAGATGGCATATTTCAAAACCAAAGTAATGCAATCATCCTTTAAGTCCATTTCCTTATTTTTTTTTCCCATTACCTCTGCTTCTGTTTGATATTTTTCCATTTTTTAAATTTTCTTTCTGTGGTATCGTGTTATGTGGGAGTTTAAACTGAATCACTTGTATCCGTCTGTATATGTATACAATCTCAATGGATATGTCCTAGACTAGTAGATTGGTTGTCGCTTTTTGCAAGAGTATAGAAAGAGAGAAAATGTTTGAGAGAAACCATCGAATACTTTTACAGACCCCACTGGAATTTATATATTTATTTCTTTGTACTTCAAACTTTTATCGATCTATGCTCCCATAATTTGGACCCATAAAAGTGTCAAGCACGATGTAAAACGCTCATGATTTACAGCTGTATTAAGAACTATATCGTATCTATTCTACTTTTTTTTGTAGTATTTCCATTTTGCTTATCGATGTCTTTAGCAAGGTTCTTTTTTACTCTATTTTATGCGAGCTTGTTATCAGGAGTAACCTGAGAAGGGCTGAAGACGGAGTAAATATTTCCCTCACCTTGTGAAAATATTAATTTCAAACCTCTACGCCTACATTATGTAATCATCTTTACGTTCTGAAAGTTAAATTTTTCGTTTCAGTTCTTCACTAACAAGTATACTGAATCATATCATTCATTTAATTTGCCAAGTTATTTAAACCGAAATTCCTCAACAGATTTCGTCATTATGGAAAATTGCTACCCAGTGACTAGTTCATAAATAATTTTCCACATTCATTACTTCATAACTTGGATATACAATGATTAAACTATATACAACTTTACATCAGCTTATGCTTATTGTGATAGATCTTTACTTATGCTTTATTCTTTCGAAAAGGAACGTGCTATAAAATGGAAGTGTGATAATTCTATGGATGGTTTAACAACAAATGGTGTCATGATGTTACGGATTCCTCCAGCTAAAATTATTGAACAAACAAATGAAGCTTCAGGTATGTCTTATATTATTATATGAGTATGAATTGAAGCAGGGAGATGATTTATATATCACTTCTGAATCCTGTTACAATTTAATAAAATATTTCATGGAAATATCATTCATTTAAAAATAACATTCTATTATAAATGTGGCGTTTTTGTTAAATAAAAATATTAACCGGTATAGAGGTTTGAGGAAATTATTAAACGTTACTAATGTCACGAACCGATTCAAGTTAGACATCCATTAAAATCCAGGAAGCACTGGACAGTCGTTTCATCCTAGTGTAGGACTCCTTAGTGGATAAGGTCGTGGATGAAGGAACTCTCACACTTCTGAGGAGTCCTATGTTGGGACGAAAAAGCTGTCCAGTGCTTCCTGGTTTTCAGTGGATGTGTAACTTAACTCGGTTCGTGATGTCAATGAAATAAACGTTCATTAGCGGAGTTGTGATCTAGTGGTCAGAGGATTTAACTTTAGCTAATAGGTTGTATGTTCGATTTCAGCAGCCTGGTAGTATTGATAACCCTCTTGTACACGTGACCCAAATCGGAGTACATAAATCTGTATTTGACAAATCATTAGCTTAAATCAAACCAAACAGACATTAATATCATTTAAAGGACTGGAGAAACCAATGAAATCACATGTGAAATGTGTAGTTATATTTAGAGGGCTGTGAAGAAAGTTAAATAGAAGTTTCGATTCAATGACGTAAGTAATCTCTAACTTCAGCATAATAACTATCAGTTTATGACACAAATTTGTGACCAATTATCATATTTCTTTGTTTGTATGACACATCTCGTAGTACTTATATCCAATTGAATTTGTGGTCAAATGGAATTAGTGTTCTAGCGTTGCTTGTCATTGATGTATTTAGAGTCATGGTACTCAATATTTTCTATTACCAGTTTCTAGTGCTTTCAAAAATTTATTTCAGTTGTCTCGTAGAATTCAACTAGAACATTTACACACTGATACATCAGCTCACATCCATAGCCTATGGCCTATTGAACCCATTCCGTACCTTTTTGTGGCTATTCCAACCTCCTACTATACTAGCCAGCATAATGTACCGAGATAATTAGTGGCTGGGATTGCTCAAAGTATCTCTTAATTGTCTGAGTCTATAGACATTTGTTTCGACTAACTTTACTAACTTGTAACCCAATTATGAATATGCTTATTTTTCGTAGTCGTCGTGTATAAAATATTCCTACCCTCTTTTACAGTAGCCCATAAGTGCTTTGATTCCAATTGCAGTTTATGAAATCAATGTTGGACATTGTTCAGTACGTGATTCTGTTTTACTTATTATTCAGCACCTGATTCTTCATGAAGTTAGCCTAGTTGAACTATTCTTCGAGTAAAACACTAAAGATTTCACATCATATTAATGAAACCTGACATTGCTACGCTGTGGATAATTGATACATCACTATGTCAGGTTAAAAATACGTGAAAAGTACTGGTTGTATCTGGCTTGAATGTCATGTTTGTAATATTCAACTTCAACAACGTGTTAATATTACCCAAACCTGGTTACTTTTGAATGTATTCATTATAAGAGTTGCAAATAAGAAAAAATGGATTTTTATCCTAATTAATCCCACTTTTATATGCCACTAAAATAAAATTTTAATTCGACAGAATATTGTACTTCAATCAGTTCTTCTGATTTAGCGTGTAATGAATTAACTAGCTGGTAGAATATTAACTCATATAGTTAATTATACATTTATCACTAAATATCGCATTGATTTATACTAGTGTTCTTTTTTGAATAGACTAATCAAGTTGTTTTCCTCTTTCTTTCTGTTTCTTATATTATAATGCTCTATCTGAACTTTTCATCATAATTGTGAACAGATCGTGAGTAAGTGAAAGATGAAAATTGTATTTTATTTTTTAATATTTATTAAGCCTTTAGAATTTCATTTGAAGCATGTAATCACACTGTTGAATTTTTACACGCTGACTCTATTGTTTGGGAACTGAGTTGATGTTATAAAACTTACATGATCGTAATGTCAAGTGGTTGCATTTTATAATACTTTTTACATCTCCCTTTTTGACCAATAAAGAATTAGTATGTTGGTATAAAGTATAATGGTAAATTACAATATGGATAGGAATTATCAGGTTACTTTATAGATAAACAAATTGACTTCCGGCGTAATGCGGCAGAATAATTAACATTTAGTTTCTGGATACTAAACAGTAATCTATTCTTATATATAAAAAATGCAGATATAATAGGAAATTTAATCAAGAACGATTATTGTTAGAATAAGGGAACTAAGGAGATTGTAGAATCTTCTTAGTTTTAACTCACTAACTGATCCTATGTCATCATCGGAAATTTGAAAACATTGAACAGCCAGTTCACCCTAGGAGTGCACATGGACGACCCCACCACAAGAAATCAAACCTAAGACCTTCGGCTCACCATTGAATACCGGCCCAGAGGTCCGTAGGTTAAACGATCGCACATGAGACCGAAGGTCTTGGGTACTATTCTCTGTAGTGAAGTAGTCGGTGCGCACTTCTGAGGAGTTCCATACCCGGACGAAATAGCTGTTCGGAGCTTCCTGCTTTTCAATGGTAGTTTAGCTAAAATTAGTTTTTTTGTTTTAAAAACTATCAAAAAGGACTGTGTTTTACCAAAATTAGGAACTGTGACTCAATAGTTAAATCACTGAACTTTCAACCAACACTAAATCAAGGACCTGAATCCTATCCTGCCCATTCAATTCTTTTTTCTAACTGTCAAATAGTGTGATTCGAATCCGATTACATAAACCTATGCACTTAATAATTGAATTTTATTTTTAAGACCTTTTTTCATGCCTTATCTAAGTAACTAATGGAATCATGTAGACATTTAATCATTTTTAACTCATTGATTTATTTATCATCGTTTCCATCAATTTCCATTCAGAATATTTTTTTACTCTAAAATCTATATTTCATTTTCCATTACAGTTCTAATATTCGATCACAATGGCGTGAAGTTAGTGTATGTGGTTCTGTATATGAAATGCGAAGCAATCGTTGTGTACCAACTAATTTGGTAAGAAAAATTCATTTATTCTCTGTGTTTCATACCCAGTTATTTGTTCATTGTTGTTTCTTTCCTTGTTTATAGATCTTTTGTTCATCATTTCGTCTAATGTTGTTTCATTTGTATACTGAATCGATCAATTCACGGATAATTTTTTTATGGACACAAGTTTATATAGAACAGACGGAGTGGAGCTAGCACGGAAATCCAGGACTTGTGTTTCTTCGTGCTTGGCACTCGTCAGTTGGATATACCTGGATCCTAGAGTTGATATCCACTCCAGAATTAAAATTCATATTTGATGTACAGGTGAGTGGTTACCTAAATTCAGTAGTTAAGTAAATAACGCGTTGGTGTTTGTAGTGAAACTTATTTGATTAGAATTCCGGAGTGGGCATCAATTCTAGGATACAGGTTGTATCTAGCTGACGAGTCACAAATAGGATGAAACACGCACCCTGGATTTTATTTCTATTCATATGTATGCATTTTGTAAGAGCGTAATGGAACAAAATCTTAATGTAATTCATTTACTAAAATACAGATTTATGAACTTGATTTTAGGTTATACATTCCTTATAACGATCAATGATATTATGGAACTGTTGAGACTAAATTACATGTTTTTTGCTCAAAAAACTAGTACCTCCAGTGATGCTGGCTTTTCACAAGAGGAAGGAGGGGAAACAATTTTCATTCTTTTGTGCCCAATGCAATGAGTTTGCAGGAGTCTTTCCTCGGACACTTGGAGATTTAGTGACAACATCATATATATATATATATATACTACTGATCTTCTGTACAGTCGACTATTTTGATCTCACTCCATTATTCTGAAATGTGTAACCTTTATATACGATACATTCCAATTAATGTATCTACCATTTCAGGAATGAGTTATCAAGCGTTGTATTCAATTTAACTCAATCAGACTGTTACACTAAGATTAGTCAACATATTATCACTTAAGGTTTGATCCCAATCTATCGAAACGATTTTTCATCACTTCGTTCCGGACTGAATAGCATTTAGTTCAACGTATAAAAGTGCAAACTAGAATTTCCTGGTCTTTGTGTAATAAAACACAACTTAATTTTTATTTAATCATAAGTTTAGACCAAACAGTACCATAAATCATATTATCTATTTGTCTTAATGAACTGAAGTTTTGGCTGAATTTGAATTAATTCTTATGATACTTTCGGAGTAGTGTGATTAATTGTGTTTTGAACATTGTCTTCCCCTTGTATTATTTTCTTTTTAAAAGTGTCCTACACTATGTTTAGTTAAATTACTTTATATCATATATATTAGAACACTTAAGTTCAAACTTCTAACCACCGAAATTTCGTTTCATATAATTTAGTCTCAACAGTTCCATAATATCATTAATCGTTATAAGGAATGTATAACCTAAAATCAAGTTCATAAATCTGTATTTTAGTAAATGAATTACATTAAGATTTTGTTCCATTACGCTCTTACAAAATGCATACATATGAATAGAAATAAAATCCAGGGTGCGTGTTTCATCCTATTTGTGACTCGTCAGCTAGATACAACCTGTATCCTAGAATTGATGCCCACTCCGGAATTCTAATCAAATAAGTTTCACTACAAACACCAACGCGTTATTTACTTAACTACTGAATTTAGGTAACCACTCACCTGTACATCAAATATGAATTTTAATTCTGGAGTGGATATCAACTCTAGGATCCAGGTATATCCAACTGACGAGTGCCAAGCACGAAGAAACACAAGTCCTGGATTTCCGTGCTAGCTCCACTCCGTCTGTTCTATATAAACTTGTCACAATGTTTGATCGATGGACACTTATCAACTATGACTGTTCAACCAATAGGATAATCCAAACCATCACAAATTGGAATATTGTTCAATTGGCATTATGACCTTTACGTTTTTAATTTCTTCATATCTTTCTGGTGGACTATCAACTCTCATATTTCCGACGCGTAACTTATTTTCATCTCCCTTCTTTAACATCTTTTTTGACAATTCGAATCTTATATCACTTTATCATGTAATCTCTTTCTATTCTCCTCTATGTTTATTGAATAACCATAAATATACGCAAGACTAAACATATTGAGTTTGATTCCCGGACGATCATTGCCGAGAACTAACGGTCGCCTCATGTTTCCTGTTTCTCTATGGATAGTCTAGCTTAGACCATTTAGTGATTTAAAACCAAGAAAATTCTTTAATCTCTTCAAGTCTCCTCATGCTAAAAATATACGACTGTGTAGCTTAAGTAAATGATATCGTCGAAACGAAAATTTTCTCTGTGTTATCTTTATTCTATATCCAATGCCAAAACGGGCTACTTTAGTAATTAATTTACTTTTACGTAACGTCCTTCTTCAACCCTGTTTATGTACACCTATCCATGTTTCCAGTTTCAACAACTAATCCTTTGTTTAATAAGGTTAATTCTTGTACCATTGCAGAAATAATAATAATAATAATTTTTACTTTCTTTAAATTCTTTCCATGATTTCTTTTTTTCTTCGTTTAGGTTAAAGAAGATAATATTCTCACTGATATGACAATTATAGATCTTTGCGGAGTAACTTTATTATGGCGATCCAGATCAGGATTAAAATATACAGCTTGTCCAGAGGATTTAATGAAAATGGTTAGTCCCGTTGTTGTTGCTGGTTACATTCTCATTGATTGTAGTTAGTCTTTTTTCATTGTATTTTATTTGGGAGGGAGGGTGATCCCACTGATATTCGTTTTCGAAACTAATGACTAATACTAATATCTATCGAGAAGTATTTTATTAACGAATCAGTGCCCATTTTTATTTTAGTTTTCAGTTTACCGGATTGTTGTAGACTTTCGTATACTGATCTTTCTTTATAAGTGAGAATTATATTTGAAAATATCTTAGCGATTGAAATTTAAACAATCCCCACAACCGTCCAGCAAACTTGTCTGAACTTCTTCAGAGTAATAATAAAAATCATCAAGTAAATGTATAGTGTTTAACAATCAAATCTATACTGTGCTAATCCAATCAAATTTAGATGCTTAAATAGAATAACATGAGTCAGTTAAATGCGAATCATATGAAAAGTCCACGGTGTGAAAGTAAATAACTGGATGAATTGTATGTGTGTATGTATGCGTAATAGTTGACATTTGGTGTTAATTTGTTTCTATATGAAGGAAAAATAAAAGTGCAAGTTGAAGGTTGAAAAATTGTTTCTGTGAATCATCGATGTGCATGTAAAATGAGAATCATCAAATACATAATTTTTTGATTGAGATCATGAACCGATTGATGTTAGACCACCATTGAAAACCTGGAAGCACTGGACGGCCGTTTCGTCCTATTGTGGGACATAATTGTATTACTAAAATAACCCACATTAATTTCAGTTAGAATAACGATGCTTATGAAATAAACGGGCTGAATAGAGAAAGTCCAATTACTTGTTGACGAATATTTGCCAGGTAGTTGCTAGTTAAATACCATCCTTTCTGTTTAGATTGTTCTTATTCGCCCATCTATCCTTAACCTTCACTAATGCTGATCTTATAGTGTCACAAACCCGAAAATACATCCTTATATCATATTTATTTAGAATCCTCCTAATTTCTGCCTATTTTCACTGCGGTTTGGGATGACCACAGTGGACTTCCAATCTTTCGCTATACATTCTAATTTAGTTTTTCTTTAACTCCTAATAATCCTCTTTAGAAACTTTGGAGTAATTGTTATCCTTAAACGTAGACAAAACTCCATTCAATTCAACCTGTTAGTCTTCCCTATCTGTAACGAGATTAATACTCCTGCCAATTAAATTTTTTTACCACTATAACTTTCGTATAAAACACATGGGCCAAACCATAATCGATGTCTCTCAGAATGTGTCGATTTCCTGAATAAATTTATTTTCAACTTATTATTATGTCCTCATTTAACCAAGTATTCGATAAACACTAGCTTATGGTCATTGGACTATTTTCTTTGTTAGCTTGATGCTCTCCGAGGTGTTGTTTACATTTTCAAACAATTCTTCTAAACGATTCCGTTTAATGATAATAAAAACGTCATCTACGTACCGTAATCAAATTTTTGGTGGATATACACATCTTGTGATCGCTCTGGTTTCGAGAGAATGAATGAATAAATTCGCCACAATCGGAGGAACAGAAACCCATTGCTACACCTTTCTGTCTGTAAGGGTCTCCTCGAAATGTAAGGTGGATCGTAAACGCAATTCCAAGCACTTAATAACTTTGGATGGATCTAACGGGGATCGTAAATTCAAATCTTAGTCAGATTCTAAACAATCATAAACATTATTCAATACTCTATTGATAGGTACATTAGTAAATAAGGAAGATGCATCAAAACTTGCCATCATTTAATCCTCTTCCATTCCTTCACTCTTCGTTTGAATATAAAATGTACCTTTTCTGTAAATCTATATATGTGCTGCTGCATTTATCTGCATTTCTATTTATTATTGTTATTATTAATGGCTTTATTCAATATTATATTTTTGGTACAATATCGAATTCTCAGCACAAAATATTACAACGAGTTTCCTTTTCTTATTTCTTGGTTTATCTTGACGATAAATATTGAGTGGTCGCCTGTCAAATGTTAACAGTTCAGGAATCAATATCTGAAAAATGTTCATTCTTTTGAATATTTATTACCAGTTACCACGATGTGTCTGTACTTTCTTGTTACTTATACAGCGAAAGATCGTAAACTTTTCATAAACACGTCTGAATAGGTTATGCGATTAATAGATATAATGATATGTTAAGACAAATAAAAACAGATACACTTGTTGAAATATCTAAATGACAGGAACAGATAGCCCTGATATTCGAGAAGGCTGTTAAATGTACAACTCTGTATAAACTATGATACGAAATTATTTAACAAGTTGACGTATGGTTGACCTTCATTATTATAGTTTGTTTGCTCATATGAATTCATGAAATAACATCTTCTAGCTATATTTTTAATACTCTTGTTGTGTAAATGGGTTATATATTTCACTTATCACCGTCATCATTATTAACAATGAAGTCAGAAAGTGGTTACAATATTGGTTTTCTTTATAATAACATCGCTGAATTAACTTGGTTCAATTTCATTAATTATTCTCATAGGAGATGTTTTTCCAGTAACTTTAAAAACAATGAATTTGTAGACTTTGTCCTTATTTTTTGTGTGATATTTTAAATATTGTGACCTATTTATACTGAAGTTATTTTGTTTAATTTTTATACCCCATTATTTTTCTTAAATAATATATTTTTTCTTGCTTTATTTGAACACTATTATCTGATGTAAAAAAGGTAAGGATCCATGTCTCAATTATAATATTTATTTGTAAATATTCTTCTTCCGTTTTGTTAAGACAACTGTAATTCTAAGAGACAGTTCACTTTGACCAAACGGCATAAGAATTCAAGGATAAAATAAAAGAACTAATGATTTATAAGTCCTTAGGATTCATAACCGGAATCGAATATATAGTGATTTATCTCTACTTGAATAGGAAAATTGAATTTCGATCCTTTAAAACTCTATTCACAAAGTCATGTTCATCGTTATAAAGTAGAACATATGTAATTATTCTTCCTTGGTTTTATCCAATAAATCTTGAGTAGGTTGGTCTTTTTGAGTAGTCATGGTGTAGCTAAAAGCGACTATAGCTGTTCTGTATTGTATCTCAGTTGTCATTAGAGTTATCTTCGCATATTCCCTATATATGACACTCATACTATTTTAAATAGTGGAATCTGAAGTTTGCAAATGAGTAAGAATTCAAGTGTATCCAAGTCTGTAGAGAATAATAACCAATGTATACTTTTTATCTTTGTCACAAAAGTAAACAATCCATAATACTTTGCACTACATTGTTTCCTGAATACAAAGTAAGAAATTTTTCTCTCGAATTAAAAATCTCACTACATAAATTAAGCTATATATACTTACCTCTTTGTTTGCTCTGAGTAAATATTTATTTTTTCTATTTACAATGGTTGTTTGTATCATTATTTCTCTCTCCCTTTCTCTAGATAAATGGATTAAATCAAGCTCATATTCAATGTCCTGTCCTATATCGTACATTGAAACTTCCACTTTTACCTCAAAGTGCACATTTTTCACCTCATTCTGACATAGTTAATATGGAAAATAACAATGGGATATTAAATAACGACAATTCACTATCTAAACTAGAATCAGATCAAATTAGTCCTGATCAAATGCCTTATGTGTATGTAAGCTGTGGTCATGTACACGGTTGGCATAATTGGCGTGCAGTTGGTGATGTGTGAGTTTCATGTATCAATATATTTAATAAAATGTCATTATGATCTGGAAGTATATATTGTTTGGAACTTGGATTTATCTTATTTTTCTCTAGAACAATCATTTTTGGCACAAAGACTGGGCAGTAACTAATGAACATATTTATAAGATGCTACAGAACTATTCCAAATGGGGTTTTTTAGCTACACTAACACCATTACTGAAGTATTTTGTAGAATTATTTGTAATTTTGAATATTTTTAGTTGATATGGTTAATAAAATGAAATAACCTACATATGTACGCAAATTAGTTTTTATTTTAAAAAGGTTTTATGCAAGTCTATAAATTAATCAATCGAGCACATTTATCAGACAGGTTTTACGTTAAGAAAAAGATATCGATTAATTTACTTAAAAAATTGAATGGTTGAAACAGTATCCTATATGGCAACTTTTATTTGGCATTTAATTAACTTAGTAGATTCACAAATAACTATACATTAATATCAGAAGAGGTTTCTGTGGATATTATAGTAATTTCAATAGTTGAGATCATGAATCAATTAAAGCTAGACCACCATTGAAAACGTGAAAGCACTGAACGACCGTTTCGTCTTAGTATGGGACTCCTCAGCAGTGCGCATTTCCTGGAATTCTAGTGATAAGCCCTGACCTGTGGAGTTCAACCGAGCATGTTGTGAGATAGTAACTCACTGAAGACAATGGTGGATGTGTCGCTCAATTTCGTGGATTAGTTAGATTTAGACATTAACACCATTGAATGCCGGCTCAGTGGTCTAGAGTTTAAGTGTTCGCGCGCGAGACCGATAGGTCCTGGGTCGGAATCTCGCAGGGGGCGGGATTGTGGATCCGCACTGCTGAGGAGTCCCACAATGGGGCGAGACGGCCGTCCAGTGATTCCAGATATTCCGTGGTTGTCTAGCTTCAATTGACTCATGATTTCAATTATTGAAATTAATAAATATTAGTTGTACAATTCATCACTGCACTTTACACCTTGTCTATACCCTTTTTATTTTTGTTCATTTGAATAGAATTATTACACTCAAACTCTGATCTGTTAATAATATTACTATTATTAAAAAAAAACTTAAATATTTGACCTCAATTAGTTCATTGTGTTTAAGTACTAAATAAACATCGTCAAAATTATTTAGATATGTTTACCTAAAAAAAGACAAACAGGTATAGTAGATTGAAAATATTCATAGATATTGAAATTGTCACCATTTTAAAACAACACTCAAATACAACCAGCAAAACTGGGTAAATGTTAAGGTGAACAAGTATAAAATAAATCGAAAGAGCTGAAACTTTATATCAAGTATTCAAGTGGTCGAAAATCAGATGATAAATGGTACATAACTGTCTCAGGAAGAAGAGCTCCATTCAGTAGACTTACACTTCCCTCTTATATCAGTCAAATTAACGATCAGTAACTTCATTGACTAATCCCATGTGTTAGTTTGATCATCCGTAACCTTTAACTTTATCTTACTAAAGTTAACAATGCATGTCTGGATAATTGATGATCTAGGTAGGATGCTAAATACTTTAGACGATTGGCAAACTATTTAGCTTGAAAATTGTCAGAAACTAAAATTTTCAAAACTTTTGTGCGTCAAAACCTTGGTAACAAAAATTAAAGAACATGAATCCTAATACTGCTAATTCTCATAAACTTTTTTTATTTTTGTTATTCCTAAAATTACATTCTTCGTCCCCATATTTATTAAATAATTACAGTGGAGGAAAAACAGATTGTAAATACCTCGTTTTTTTTTTATTTTTATCCTTTTTCTGTTTAAATTAATAATAACTATCAGTTTTGTTTTAATTTATTCAGAAATAGTCGTCGAACATGTCCATTATGTTTACAAACATCAGTGTTTATCCCATTACGTATGGGTATTGAATCAGCATTCTATGTTGATCGTAGTTTAGCTACGCATTGTTTTAATCCTTGTGGACATATTGCTTCAGAAAATACTGTGCGGTAAGTTTAAATGAATATTAACTACTACACATGATAATAAGTAATATCTTTTATTATTATTATTATATATATATAGATTAAATCACATATTATGTTTAATTTAATTGTGTTCAACTGTAAAAGTATGAATTGTTGTAACGTTTAATGTTACTCTTTTCACTGTAGTCATGACATGAAAACGAATTTATTGTAGAGAACAATTTCGTAATTAGGTATATTTGAAGTGCATAATCAAAATGTCTTGCCTGCTAGTATCCCTATGGTTTTTTTCTAAAAATAACTTTGTTATGTAATAGTAATTTACTTAAGTATACTTTATACAATACTTGTTTTAACATTCATATTTTCAATGAGCTAACGAAAGTAGTGTGTGAACTCCTGGCACGCATAGTTATTAGAGCTCTATGATCGAATATATATATATGGTCGGATGACCTCAGTAATATCAATATTGATGTTGGCCCTTGGTTTATCTCTGCACTCATACTTGATTCACTGTACTTCCTTCGAATGCCATTTAACTTGAGATTCATCAATCCATCGTGTTCCGTGTATCTGCCGGACATCCAATTAGAAACAGCAATTGTTTTTTTCGGTTTAGTTTTGCTAAGCTACTAATACTATCAACTTCCAGATAACGAATACAACTTGTAGTTCGAATGCCTGGATCTATATGCGATTATTATCAAGAATCCCTCAACATGCCATATTCGAACTACTGCTAACCATCGTAGAATCTAGCCAACCATTCAGATCAATCACTGAATAGCTCAACTAAAAACCTGAATATTCATCGGCTGAAGCCTAAGATAAATACCACTAGCCAGGGTACATGCAGTCCAGCACGGAGCCAGGTGCATGTTAAAAAAACCCCAATATAGTCAATATTATTTATAAAGTACTATAATTCTGTCGAACCACAGTAAACTATATCGAAATCTCTCTTGACTTGTAAACTGCGCTATTTGTTCCTAATCATAATTACCATCTAGTGACCGAATGAATAATTCCTAAAGTATCTCAGAATATCCATTTCTAAGTAAGACTAAGCATTTTAATAATCCATATGAAGTTGTGAGTTATCGATGAAATCACTAAACTTTCAGTTAAAGAGTTTTAAGTTTGACTCCCACTCTACTTTGGTTTCTAAACGTGATTAGTATACCAATAACCTTATTCCATCATAATTGTGTCTAAAATTCAGATTTCTAAAAAAAAACCAGGTCATCTACATTTCTTGTTAATAAACAAGTCATAGTTTTTATGTGTAAGAATAGCTTCGGTAACATTTTTCCAATCCATATTTCTCAAATGACGTTTGCTGTTATTTGAGTGTCTGTTGTCACTTATTATTTACTAGTTTTTTTATATGTCTCAAAATCATTGTCTGTTGTCATATACAAAAAGTTGTTTGACTTCAAATTGGACCTCGTGAATAACAATCTTTTTCTTAACACTTGTCTTCTCTTTGTGTTTCATCGTGTTGAGGACTATGTGTATGTCACTTATCTCGTCTATCGAGCTTGTGTAGATCCAGTTTCTTATTAGAGAAAATATCCCAGTTTTTTACAGTCGAAAAGGTAATGCTGTGGTGTATGTTGTTTATGCTGATAGATATAAGTAGTATGTAGCACCAATCGAAAGTGGATTACCTAGCGTCAGGACATTGAAATGATGAGAACAGAGAAAGAATCGGAGAGTAACCGAAATAACAGCAGAATTAGAGGAATAATGGAGTATATCAAGGACAACACGAAGATGTGCAAATGATGTATTTAATGTATGAGTTTTATGTTTTACTAGACCACTGTGTGATTTGTACATCAGTGTGCAATTAATTACTAAATTCCATTATTACACTTTTCTAACGTTTCACGTATTTTCATGTCATTGTTTTTGTTTGTTTGTTTTTTCATCTGTACTCTAGATACTGGTGTAGTTTACAATTATTAAATCGATATAATTTTGAATTACACGCAAGATGCCCTTTTTGTTTGACACAAATACATTCAAAACCAGTGAAATTATTATTTCAAAGTGATTTATCAGAAGAAGAATTTTTGGAATTAATTAAAGAACAATTATACGTGCGTACATTAAATATGGAGAAATACGAAACATTATCACGTTCTATTCATAAAATAAATAATAGATCATCAAAAATTAATTCATCACAACTGCATTCCATTTCTAATAATAATAATAATAATAATAATAATAATAATAATAATAATAATAATAATAATAATAATAATAATAATAATAATAATAATAATAATAATAATAATACTCAAGAATCTATTCATTCAACTTCGTCTTCCCCTCCTCATCCACATCTTACATCTTCCTACAACCATGATGACCGTCTTCTTTCTTCATCGTGTTCATCATCTGATGAAGTATTATTATCTTCTACATCATCATTATCACAAATTATATCATTACCAACTACCTCCTATTTATTAAATAATATTCATTCATCAAATAATCCTTGTCGATCGGCAGCAGTAGTAGTAGCATCACAAGAAAATTCTAATTCTTTACGATTAAATGAAAATCATTCAATCAATCATGATAATCTTAATGTTCCACATTCAAACTATACATCTTGTTTATAGTTTAACTACAATTATTTCATCAGATTGATTTTCGTTTTACTTGTTTTTTTCTCTACTGGACTTTCATCACCAACAACTGAAGTAAGTAGTGGATTTCGTCGAATGCCAGCTACTCATCCTCTTTTTGTATTGTTATTGTATTAGAAACTGATCCCTAAAATTGCACATTGTTTCCGTTTTTCACGGAGATCTGGTGCTACTAGCAAACTTTAACAAATTAGGAGTCGAAACACCAAATTAGAAAGCAAGTATTCGTAGGAATAACCATATAACTAATATCAAGCAGTCGTCTTTGTACTCTGCTGTCATACTATCTAATAGATGAGATGATCAATACCAGTCCTGTTTCTTTATCAGGTTTTCCTAGATAAACCAACCTTTCGTACGATAGGCAATTGAAATAATCCAACTACAATAGCGCGTACATCAATACTGTTCTGTTCATCATAAATCCCGATCACTTAACTCATGTTCTCTTAGGTTTTCTATTTTCATTATTAACTCTTACTAGCTTCTTAGTTTTTATATACGAGTGCTGGTGATTCGACAGTAGACATCGTCTAACATGGCGACCCCTTGCACCAAACCAACGATGGACTCAAATAGACCATATTGCCATCAGTCATCGTTGGAGAGGGTCGATAGAAGATTGTTGCTCAGTCTCGAGTACCTGCCTTGACTCCGACCATGCCCTAATACGAGCACGCATCTGCTTGCGCCTCACTGGTCGCAAAAAAGCCACATTAAAAAGACCCATTAGAACTGAACTGAGTAACGAGAAAACCAAAAGTAGGTTACAGGAACAACTGGAAACTAGGCTGACCCAGTTGTTGCTTGGAAAGATATACAAGCAGCTGTGGAAACAGCAGTGACATGTATTAGTGATTTAAACCACAGGGTTACAAAGAACCAATGGATTTCTTCAAGGTCTATTACACTGATGGATTCTTGCAAACTCATCTCATCAGGCTCTGAACACGATGATGAGCGAAAGCAAATCAGATCTAGGTTAAGCAAAAGTCTAAAGAATGGTCGTGAGCAGTGGTGGGCAACGAAAGCAAAAGAGATGGAAAAGGCGGCGGCTATGAGTAACTCCAGACAACTCTTCAGACTCATAAAAGAAACTGAAACTAAAAAGTCAGGAGTAAGTGAAACTATCTCGGAAAAGGACGACGTTCTTATCCGCTCCCTGTCCAGACGTTTACAACGATGGGCGGAACACTTTAAGGAGCAGTTCAGTTGGCCTTCAGCTACTCTACAACTACCCTGTATTCCCAGACAATGTGAATGGAACATTGAATTGGGTTATCCGACTCTAGCTGAAGTTCGAAAGGTTATAGTTAATCTAAAACGAGGAAGGGCAACTGGTCCAGATGGATTGGCTCCAGAGGTCTTTAAGGATGGTGGTCCAATTCTAGCGACTAGATTGACTAATATTTAATCTAAAATCTGGGAATTGGACATAATCCCCTCTGACTGGTCACAATCACTTATCGTCCCAATATATAAGAAAGGGTCAAAATCATCCTGTGACAACCATGGAGGGATTAGTTTGACCAATATATTATCTAAAATACTAGCCTCGATAGTTATCGGACGCCTAACAAAGCCTCGTGAACTGCAAACACGAGAGAATCAAGCTGGCTTCAGACCTGGTCGTGGATGCATCGACCACAGATTCACCACTCGTCAGGTTCTAGAACACAGGCATACTTATCGACGTCCGACAGTGGTGGTCTTCCTTGACTTAAAAGCAGCATTTGACTCTGTGGATAGGGAGGTTCTGTGGCAGTGTCTATCATTGAAAGGCGTACCTCAGAAGTACATAAACCTTGTGAAGGCTCTTTACTCGAACACTACTAGTCGAGTCAGAGCTTATGGTGAACTGTCATCCGCTTTTGCAACCTCAAGTGATGCCCGTCAAGGCTGTCCACTTTCTCCATTTTTGTTTAACTTCATCATAGATCTACTGATGGAAGTAACGCTCTCATCGACTGGATTCTCGGGCATCGATCTCCTACCAGGAGGTCCACTTATCGACTTAGAATACGCAGATGACATAGTCCTGTTAAGTGAAGACGCTTATAAAATGCAGAGTCTTTTGGTAGCACTGAGAAACAATGCCAGAATGTTTGGGATGCGCTTCTCTCCCTCTAAATGCAAGTTGTTGCTTCAGGACTGGTCTGCGTCAATGCATGAACTAAGGATAGGGAGTGCAGTAGTCGAACATGGCTCAGAATCGATCACAATGGTGTGCGTGTTTACACTCTCTGTCTTCCTCCAAACTAAGAGATTTAAATCGCTTCATATCTTTCTTTTTACATATTAATTCTTTCCTCCTGTACTATATCCTTATATGCAATCTTTCTTCTATATATTACCACCACTGAATTAACTACTTCTATGAATCCGGTGTTCATCTTGTTGTACTGATGCGGTATGGCAACTTGGACCGATGCTTTGGTCTCGGCACCCGGGAAGTATCTCAGCCTACACACAAAAGTGTGGCGCATATAGATTTGGTGCCCCCTTGTACCAATATTTATGTGTTTAAATAAGTACCGATACATATATGTGCCTGGTCCTACGTTGCAGCTGACTGACTGAGATACTTTAATATCTATTTTAAGTTACGTTTTCAATTCTGTCTAGTATTATACTAAAATCTTCATTTAGGTATTGTGTTGGGTGGTTGAAAATAGCTGTCAAGAAACCTTTTTTTTAGGTTTTGTGGGATTAGAATCCGTCACCCGGCTTCACATTTTGAGACGTTACCACTGAACTATTCTGGCCACTACTGACCTATGGGAACAAAATGTTTTCAGCTCATTGTCAGTCAGTCAGTCAGCAGCAACGCAGGACCAGGCACATATATGCATCGGTCCAAGTTGCCATACCGCATCAGCACAACAAGATGAACACCGGATTCATAGAAGTAGTTAATTCAGTGGTGGTAATATATAAAAGAAAGATTGCATATAAGGATATAGCACAGGAAGAAAGAATTAATTGGTAGAAAGAAAGATATCAAGTGATTTTACTCTCATAGTTTAAGGGAAGACAAAGAGTGTATACACCTACCCCATTCTGACGGATTCTGAGCCATGTCACACACAGTCTCCAACCATTCGTTACGATAGTCATGCGTATCCCAACCAAGCAGTCTGAATCTACCAACATGGCTCAGACCAGATGTTAGTGTCTTCAAGAACTGATGCCACGTTTTGGTTTGGTCGCCCCTAACTTTCTTCTAATCATCCCCAACACCGGTTAGCATTGCACGTCGTGGTAATCGGTGTTCAGGTATACGCAACACGTGGCCCAACCATCTCAGTCGATGAAGGTTCATAACCTCATCAACTGATTTACCATCATTCCCTAATACCCTGCGTCTAACTTCACTATTACTTACCCGTTGATCCCAGCAGATGCGAGCAATCTGTGGTCAAATATTAATAGCTTACGAATATCTTCTACTCTTAATTGCCACCTTTCTCAGCCGTAAAGTGAAACAACGAACTGCCGCGCAGTTTGCTCGTCCTTTAATTGATAGACAGATATCTCGCGTTCGCCATAGGTGACGTAAGTTGGCAAAGGTCAAACGAGTTTTTCGAATCCGTGCTGAGTTTTCGTCAGACACCAACCTATTAGGGCTGATCAGACTTCCAAGATAAGTGAAGTTGTCAACACGTTCGACTACTTTACTCGCTATCCTTAGTTCATGTGTTGACGCAGACCAGTCCTGAAGCAACAACTTGCATTTAGAAGGAGAGAAGCACATCCCAAACATTCTGGCATTGTTTCTCAGTGCTACCAAAAGACTGCATTTTATAAGCGTCTTCACCAAACAGTATTATGTCATCAATTTTTAGCTCATTGATCACTGAATAGTGACCGATGTCATATTTATCTAGTCTCTTAAGTGCTGATCGAATTTTGTCGACTAGGTTTCATCGTGGCCACTATTCTAAATAACTCAACATCGTATACCCTGTCTTAAGATATTAATTGGTTAGAGTGGTAGTCGACAGGAAACCCTGTTCACAAAACCTAGCCCATTGGTGTGTTGATATTCAAATCTTTAAAACGGGATTTTCAGTAAATTTATAATTTGATCAGAATTGTTTAAATACATGTCCCCAACAAAATCTTCATACTTTTATTTAATGAATACCATCGATAATATTACCATTCATCCATTATGAATTCTGTTTTTGCTTTTTTTTAGACAATCTTTACTTCTAGACAGAGAGAAATTACCAAAGTAATCCAAATCGTAACTAAGCACATTATTTCAAATTCATTTGACATTATTTGTATGCTCAAATATTTCACTTATAACGTTATCCCTAGTATTATCAGTGTTCTGATTCTTAAAACACCTCTACTCATTATTTTGAGGGAAATAAACGAGTTCATTGCATACAACACTAATTCACTTCACTTGGCTTTTTTTCAAATGGAATTAAAAATAATGTTATGTTGATGTATTACTATTTTTTACCCATATTTCCTTTTTTTATATATTTTAACAAAACATTTGAATGTTAAATGTTTGTGGGTTTATTAATGTATTTAATATCATATTATTAGTTTTTAATAGTTAAAAATAATATCATTGTTAACTTTGTGTAATTACACATCTCAATCCCTTTTGTTCATACTATCCAAAATGCATTATCCATACAATTCATATTTTCTAAATAACCGGTACTAGTTAGGCATACATACATACATACTTATTCAGTCTTAATGATTTTGTGTTAAGCTGGATTTTTGTTTGTTTGTTTATGTTCATCGGGACAGTTTTCCTCCAATAACTTGTAAGTGTAACATTTATAACTACTTTTCCGTATTGTCTTTCTTTTTTCTTCTAAATTGTTTACTTCTGTGACTTTTTTCACCACAGTGATTATTGTTTGTTTGTTTGATAGTATGATCAATAATATGTGCGTTTGTTGTACATGTATGTATGCATTTTAGTGAAGAGTTACTTTTAAATTTAACTTGATATTTGTATTTTGTTCTTTATTTTTTCTTCGTTTCTGTTTTCTTCAATATTATCATTTAAAACAAATAATCATTTTTATCACTGCTTTTTATCCTTATTTTATTTTAGTATTAGTATATAAATAAAAGGGCGAATTTCATAAGTTTTTAAATGATCTACCATCTGTATATGTAATTTGAATGATTTATCCAATGATATCGGCTATATCCTAAATCGAGTCTATGATTATTATTCAAACTTTCCAGTAATCGATTGAAATTGAAAATCTGCTTGAATATCGAAGCTTCTTTTGTACAATATTCGTCCATATACATATTTTACTTCCCATGTTCTAACTTCATAATGTTTATTCAGTGTATTATACTTAAGCTAAACCTGTTTGGACAACGGTGTTAATGAAAGCCAAATACACAGACATGCTAAGAGGTGTAATGTGGAGAAAGGATTCTCGGCCTACTCAATTTGACTAAGAAGTGACTCAACACATACAGACTTCAAAAAAACACGTGAGCACATACGTACTAGCATGCACACATGTATATAACATGCTCAAGGTTACACGTGAGGAATTGACAAGGTCAAAAATATAGGTTATAATAAAAGTAAAAAGATTAGAATAATCTCTCTCCAATGGTTAGGACAAGTAATGTATGTGTAATATCAAAGATTTGCTGCTATGCCTTGTCTATTAAGTGTAAAAATTTCTTTTGGTCTTCAGTATCCTATCACAAGATAAAATTTTAGGAATTGTTCTATAAATTTGATAATGTAATAAGAAGACGGAGATTATCAGAACTATGTGATATATTAGCGCAATACATTTCGAACAATCTGATCACACATATACTTGTTAAGAGCATTTATATATAAAAATAAAAGGTCAACTAGACTGGAAATGAGGTAAGAGGAGATAAGGATAATAATAATAATAATAATCTGAACACTATTCAAAACCTAATCACTCTGGATAATAAGTCAATATTACCAGGGTAGGTTTAAGGTAAGAACAAACTGTTTTTGAATACACAAAGGGGGTTTGAATTTTCGTATGGCTAAGGCTTCAATAAACCTTAGTATACGCCCTTGTACACTTTTATATAATACCACAAAAGCCGAGTTTAGATCACTAACCCTAACGTTAAGATTACGATTGCTCCTCCCTATGTATGTGTGACCACACACACATTTAAATTGGTAAACACAGTGGGATGTGACACAATCGTTTCATGTCTTTTAGGTTTTGGATGAAACCAATTAGAATACCAAAACTGCCTGTTAAATTGCCCTATTATTCTCTATTCATTATACCACAAATAAGAAATAATTTGTACAGGTGATATCAAACGGAGTAACAGATAAATAATTAATTTTAATTGTTGAATTCATGAGTCGATGTAAGCTAGACCATCATTGAAAACCTGGAAGCAGTGGACGGCGATTTTGTCCTAGTACGAGACTCCTCAGCAGTGCGCGTCCACGGTCCCTCACGCGGGATTCGAACCCAGGATATTCGGTCTCACGCGCGAACGCTTAACTTCTAGACCACTGAATCAGTATCCGACGGTGTTAATGTCCAACTTTCTTAGGTCCATGAATGCCTGTGCAACCATTCATCCATTGTTTGAGGTAGATATCTATCTCTACCCGACATGGATTGGACTCCACTGGTCATGGCTTCTCACCAGAACTCCATCGAATTCATCTTGGAATCAGTCACTAGCGAGCACATGATGACTATTACTAGTATGAGGATTTGTGGAGATTATAGTATTTTCATGATTGAATTCATGAGTCGATCAAATTAACAGTTATAAGGAACGAAGAGAATACTCTACACTTAAATAATCATTGTAAGAAAAATCACAACTTTACATAATGGCCAGAATAAATCAATTTTATGTCAAAATTACTATAAACCCAACTCTGAAAATAATTAATTAACAAAATCCTCAGAACTTTAAAATACACATCGACTCATAATTAAGATATAAAAATACCATAAACTAGACATTTGATAATTACCCATAATATTTATCTATAGAATAGTTTTAACTTTTCCCAAATTACCGTTCCTCCATGGGCTCGGTTATTCCATTAAAAACAATGTTCTATTGTCTATTAGATACCTATTAAAATCAACTATTTTTATCGCTATCAATTAATTAAATTTTTTTGATATACATACGGCTAAGGTGTAGAATTCAAAAAACTCCAATGAATTCATTTCATTCTACAAATCTTGTCTTTACTTTCCTGCATAAAAACTGAAGAGAAACGTATTTTACTTGACAGTTAAATTCGATGAAACCATAATTTGTGAACATACCAATTAACACTAGTTTAAATAGTACAGAGGAATTTAATTCGATTAGTTATTCACTCTGAACAAGTGGCTTGTATTAAGTCACGAAACGTCGGAAATACAATTTTCTATTCATTGTGATATAACAAAAATCTATATATTTATTATTTCTAATTATTCTTCTGATCGGCTGTCAGACAACAAAAGCGAAGGTCTTTCTCATAAGTGAGATGCAGCAACTCATGACTACATGTCCACTGACCGTCTAAGATACTACTGAAAAAGCTTCTACCAGCCGAACAAAAATATATAGGATTATCAACCACTACCAACTGGCTGTCTAAATCATTGGATAAAGAATTTACTGTAAAACAAACTTTTGTGTCTCTTGAGAAGTTATCTGAAGTTGAGGATAATCTTTCATTCTGCATCCATATTTTATGTAAAAATCATTTGGATTTCGACGACTATCTTGCATTATGAAATGGCGGAAAGTCACATTCTCATAAACACTTTTTTGTCTCAATAGTTCTGCTTCCATCTCTTTAAAAATAATATCAACTTCACTATTTGCAATAGACTGGGCATACAACAACGACTTTTATCTCTCAGATAGTGAGGATTTCGTTGGCCGGTTAAAATGACGCTTTTGATTGATAGGAGAAAGATACAGATGGATGGTTGAGGGGGCGTGTAAAGTGTATTAAAATAAATTTCATGCTCTTAAAGGATTATTCCCATTTAAAACATCATGCTCCCTTTTTTTACATTTAATTGTAACTAATCTCATCATACCTGTAAACTATTGGCATGAAATTTATAATTATTTTATTAACATATTTTCAAATCAATACTATCGCTTAGCCAACAGTAACAACTAGTGATAAGTGTATTTTATTGTCAACTTTTTTTAAAAATCGAATGTAGAATTTCATTTCACCTGAAATTCTGTTACTTTGCTGAAGCATAAATTTGTTAGATTACACTTGTAAGTTTGTTAAATGTTAACAATTAAAATTACATCCTTAAATATTAATCATTTTAATATCATATGGGTTTTGTGGATATTATAGTAATTTCAATGGTTAAGATCATGAGTCAGTTGAAGCTAGACCACCATGGAAAGCCTCGAAGCACTGGACGGCCGTTTCGTCCTATTGTGGGACTCCTTCATTATTTGTCAATTTAAGCATACCTTAATTTTTGAACTTAATTTTAAGTAAATTTCAAACGAAAAGGATTCATGCTGTTTTCTATGACTCATTTAAAAAGTGGACTTGTAGAAATTGTTGAATGTGTAATTTTACATCAAGTATTGTCACAACTGATACTTTCTATTAAAAAATGACGAGACTATAATTTATGAACCAATCAATAAAACTGAAGATGGTGGGACTTGAATTTCGGCACGAAATTCATTCATCTATATGGCTAAATAGCATTTAGCTCTACGGCTGACGTCGAGGTGTGGTGAAAACTTTAACTCTAATTCTTAACCCTAACTTCTAATGTTAAATTCTATCCCAATTCTTAACATGAATTTATAACCATGTTTTAGTCATAGTACGCAGGTGAATTTTCTCAAGATCACTTAATGTCGCTCAAAGTTCGCCCATAAATTATGGTCTCTCCTTGACTAACTTCTCTTAGAAACTCTCAGTAGTCTTTAAATGCCATTTGTCTGACTTCAATATGATCGAACTGTTGATGATGTAGACGAATTAGAGATCCTATTTTCCTCATATGTGTTATGCCGAAATCTACATTTGATTGGTTTAATAATCATTTGGAATTGTATAGTGAGAACAGTTAATTTGTAGAAAGGTTCGTTCTCACTGATACCCAAATCATTTCATTAGTTATCCCCGAAATCTCATTCACCTTGAACGTAAGACATATGAAGACAAGTTACTTTTTTCTTTGTTTGATAATTAATTTCTTCTGGCACCCATTTTCCAAAAAATTGTTCTCAACAAGTCCCAAATCTTTTATTTTGTCAGTACAAGGGTTTTGAAGTAATTTTTGGATTTTATAATTTGCATCACGAGTTGATCTTGTCTAAAAAATCAATGAAACCTAAAAAGCATCGTATACTACGAGACTCCTAAACAATGCTCATCTACGACTCCGCCGGGGATAGGACCCAGGGTCTTCAGGTCTCATTGCGAACACTTAGAATCTAAACTACCGAACTGGCATTTAGTAAGTTATATTCTAAACTGTGATCCCCTCGTAATAATGCGTGTGTGAATGGGCGCATGTGTGTGTTTGTGTGGTCAACCAATCAATCGTTTATACCAAATTACCATAAAGTTAAGAAAAAATAACCACTCAGTTATTCTCAAATAATGCTTTATCCAATACAACTTTCTAATCTTTCTTATCATCCATTTATTTATCATGTTCAGTCGATATTTTTATATTCACTGTTATCAGCAGTTCACATGATTGATAATATTGTTTGAAGATATAATTAATCAGTTTTTACCAACCGTTTATATATTATACCTTTTTTGTACGGTCAAGATCATTTAACCAAAGAAAATTTCCATAATATAACGGAAATGCTAAGAGATGAAATAAAAAACAAGCGGTAATATAATTTCAAAACTTTGTATCTGGAATAACAATGGTTAAGTGTTGTTTGACAACTGGATGGTACTTCTAACTTAAGTCAAAAAAGGACTGATAAAAATGACTACGAAACACTGAATTCAGTTTTTGTTTAAATTTATTCTAATCAGATCAGTGCAGATTTTTAATAATTCAGAACACTTACGCTTAACAGTAAGAACCATCTTCTAGAGATCCGAACAAAATACTCAGTCAAACAAATCCATCTATTCAGTTACATATTCTGACAATCTAAATCGATTAGATGGAAAATAGTCCGTACAGGGTTGTTAAGAATGTTGAATTTTACTGACCGGTTCATGAAATTAATTAAATTCAACAACATCCACCACCCCATACTAACAATTATCGTGTTTACTAATGACTAGCTTCAAGAGGAAATTTCCAGAGTTCTAGTGAGAAGCCGTGACTAGTGGAACTAAACGGTGTTGAGTGTGAGAAAGGTGTACACCAATGACAATGAAAGATAGTCGTATACTATCGTAAATAGATGTATAATAGTTGTTTCGCCTATCACATTCCAAAAATGCAATGACAATTGATAAGAAATAGTCGAATTTCTTTAAGTAATGGAAATCAAATCACATTAAATTATAATTTAAGCAGACTTACGATAAGCCATTAATTTCTACTACTTTTGATAGTAGTGTTTAAAACATACCTGTCGCATCAATGAAACATCTGTAACCAACATGCCCTATTCGGAACATTAATATCGTGTTAACGAAATACGAAAGCTAACTTGCTATAACCGTTAATCGACTTTAGATTATAATTTACTGGGCTCTGTAGAATATTCAGTAGATAATAATCTTTCTCAGTTTACATCTTAGATGACCATAAGAAAATTCAGGAAGCACTGGACAATTGTTTCATCCTAGTATATGGCTCCTCAATGGTGTGAATCCATAACAATATCGGGTAAAGAGCATAAGATCTTCAAATATAAGCTGATATTCATGAGTTTGCTTGTCTAAGTTCAGCTAATTAGTGGTCCTCATTCATGATCATCCACAATCTTAACAATAGCCTACAACGATAATCTCCGGGTTTCTTTATTTTTCTGTCGAATTACAAAGTTTATGGGGATTAGGCTTTTGCATTTTCCTAGGAATTGTATGAAATGAGATAGATAGTTTACAATTATTAAATAACAGTTAAGATGTTTAAGCTTAGCATATCATCTCTCTATATATTTCTCTCCTGTACTTTACTTTTTACCAACAACTATAAATAATTTGATACAGTTTAAGCTATAAATAATAAAAGTGAATTCTTCTAATACTCCAAAAACTGAGAATTTCCAACCGTTATGAGAGTTTCGAATTATGATGCAATTCATATGGATGAGATTATCTGTAACATTTTAATGCTCTTTAAATGTGTTTTACTCAATAATCTCTGTCATTTTCCTGTTCGTTTATTTGGTGAGTAGTTCTCACTAAAGACTATATCAAGCTCTCACTTTTACTATGTTTGTGTTTTTTACTCAGAAAGCTACACTGGATATGTCCATAAGAGATTGTCGAAGATACCTCCAGTCATTTATATTAATATGTTTTAACTATATTCTTCTTACAACTACTTATGAATAACCTTAGGATTTCATGTTTGTTTGCTATTAATACAGTTACTTATAATTACGGTCATAATACTTAACAAAACTGTCTTCGTATCAGAAAGGGTTCTGTGTGTATTATAGTAATTTTAATAGTTGAGGTCATGAGCTAGACCACCATGAAAAACCTGGAAGCACTGGACAGCCGTTTCGTCCTAGTATGGGACTCCTCAGCAGTGCGCATCCACGATCCCGCCTCGCAGGATCAATAACTTGCTACGGAATTCATGATGAGTGTTACTTTGTTTTTGAGACCCAACTGAAAGAATCTGCTCTTCAGTGGGTGTTGTTTTCCCTACTAAAATTTCATCTCGACAATTGTCGTTTCGTTTATCAACCTAGTACTAAATTATGAAAGTAACTTTTTACTGGATACTATTGGTTGTTAGAAACAGTGATTTTCCGTTTTTGCCATTTTACCAACTAAATTATATAAGTCATGTTTATAACACGAACGATGCTTTATTCTCAATACGATCAGCATATTGATTGAGATCAAGGGTAAAATTGGTGATACAAAATACAATTATTGAATTTTACTGCTTTACCACTGAACAGTAATCAATAAATACTGTTGAGGTATGGTTATAGCTTGTATATCAGCCTCTTTGCAATAAGTATGTATACACCAATAAAAATAACCTTACTCTAACACACACATCCATTTCATATGGTTCCAAGTGTTCTGTTCTGTATGAAGATGCCTCACATTCTTGCCAGAATCACACTTAGAAGTACGGAAATCTCGAAAGATAAGGAGATAGTTGATAAAAGTGACCAAAGAAGCGATCCAGTGATCACAAATTTAAACTTTTCATTTCTCATCACAGTAAACTACCAACAATAAAACCAGCGACAACCGTAGACAATTAATTCCCCTTAGTTTAGGACTCCTCAGAAATGAATATTCATAAATCATGGTACATTTGAGATTAGATTAATATGCTTCCCCTCTAAAGTGTGGTACTAATCAGAAACTAATTTCAAAATTCTATCTTCAACTAAAAGAAATTACAACATTCTGTATATACTAATCACCATAATGTATAAAGATTACAAAAATACATATTGTTTTGCCTACTCGTTTGGAAATAAGTAGTAAAACAAATAAACATAAATAATTGAGTTTGGAAGAAAAATGATCAAGCCTTGTTTTAATGATAAATATTACATTGGCGCTCAAGTAAGAACTTATCGACTCTTGCTCTGGTAAGACTGATATCTTCAGATTACTTATGGGGAATTTTGTATACTTGTTTTTTATCTATGAAATAACATACTCGTGTATTCATTAGTTTTCAAATAACATATTTACATGCTTCTAAATGACGTTCATATTTATGAGATGTTAAACTTTTATTACACTGTTTACAATTATGTTTTGTTTTATTTAACTGTTTCACTGAATATTCAGAATTAGATGTTTTTAATTTGCAAATTTTTTGTTGTTTACTATGTATTTTCATATGTCTTGTTAATTTTGATGATTGAGCGCATGAATATGTGCATATATTACAATGATATGGTTTTTCACCTGTATGTATACGTCGATGTACAGTTAAATTACTACAATTTCGAAATATTTTACCACAATATTCACATATATCACGTCTTAAATGAGCTATTAACTTGGATGTTTGTTTTTTTACCCCAGTATTATTATTATAAGTAGTAGTATTGTTAATTGGATTAATAAAATTTCGATTCAGATAAGCAGTTTTCTCTGAAATATCTTTAGAACTATAAGCTATATTGTATTGTTTCATAAACTTTTTATCGTTATTTAAACAATAAAATGAATTTTTATCTAAGGATAATTCATTAGATATAACACTTTCATTTATTGTATTATTCTGATGATTACATAATATATTTGATTGATTATTTTCATCTAATATATTTAATTGATTAAGATTAACATTAGAAAATGGTTCAACTTGTACTAACCGATCATTTTCATAATGAACTAATTGATTTTTCATGTGTTTAGATGATATTAAATAATTGGATGTAATTGGTTCCGTTTGATCCGTCTTCTTATGATAAGAATAAAATAAATTTTTATATATAAAATTAAATAGATTGAAATAATTTGTAAAATTTTTAGAATATTTATACAAATTATTGATTAAATGATCAGTAAGAATTAATTTATGATTTACATTTGATTGTTTTAATAATGAATCAATTTGCTGTGTTTGTTGGTGCTGTTGTTGTTGTTGTCGTTCAATGTTAAATTTTGTTTCTGGAATATTTTCAGGATTTCTATGTTCAGTTGTAAATTGATTTGAATTGATTTTATGAATATTTTCTAAATGATTTAATAATTGATATGGAGATTGTTGAATAGTTTTACATAATAAACATGGAAGTATTACAGAATCACTTTGATTTGAATTATCTGAAGAAATAAATAAAAGAAATTACTAATAAAGTTTGATGTTCATTCTTAATAATGAATGATTAATTCTTATTTCAAGTTTAATCTTTAATTATTTAATTTTGTTTTAAGAGTTATGTAACTATAATATTGATATTTTATTTATAAATAATTGGTGAGACTATAATTTATGGACGACTTATGAGTGAAGCTAAAGTGACCCTGACAATGTCCACCAACTTACTAAAGCTAAATGAGAGTTATGAACCTATGTGAAGAATAAGGAATATGATTTACAGTTGAATGTTAGGGTTAGGAACTAGATATCGAGTTTTCATAACGAACTGATATCATTTGAAATGTCAAAATGCTCTTTAACCAAATGGATGAATGAATTTCGAGCCCAAATCCAAGACGTGTTATCCTAAATCTGACTGATTCGTCTCGCCAAATAATTCTGTTTTTATTTTATCAGTTGTTTATTCTAGATTATTCTTATATGTGTTTGACTTATAAAATATTCACATTCATTAACATATGAACATCTCTTATCGTCTTTTCATACTTATTACTCATTTCATTAATCTTCATTGATGAGAACTTTTTCGGAATCAACTTTATTAGGAATTTATAGTTTTTCCCGTTTATAAGTTCGACTGATGCAAGTATAATTAATAAAACACAATAACATGAGTTCATTAGATTTCATAGTTTGTTATTAATTGTTGACAACCTAAACATAATAGTATTAATCATTAAAAATTAGTTTGTACAAGGATACATAATTTACTAACAAGGTTGTTTCTAAAACTTTCGTTGAGCAGTAAAATAACTTCCCATCATGACTAGGGATTAGTTGAAAATTCATTGAAAACTATGAAGTATGAAACAGATGTTTGACTTATTTAGGGTCCCCTCGATTATTGTAACCAGCGGTTGGAGACTGTGAGCGACACAATTCAGAATCGGTTAAAATGGTTTAGATGCATTCATTGTTTATCTTTCTATATATATTGGGTTTTAAATTGTCCCATACTTTACTATTTCACGAATTCATTTTTCCATATTAAATCATATTTGTTTATCTATTGTTGTCTACTACTACAGATTCTGTTACTACCTCTACCACTCTAACACTTGTTCTGATAATTTCATCTCTCAAGCCTAGTGTGGTATGGCAACTCGAACCGATGTACATATGTGTTAAGTTCTACGCTGCTTACGACTGGCTGACTGACTGGTCCTGGTACGAGATAGATGAATACTGTCTACTCATGAAAATACATTAAATCAAACATAATATCTCCAGACTTTGTGATAGAAACAACAACTTGAGGTCATCCATACATTAATATTTCTTCAGTTTTAAATATACCATGAAATTCATCTGTTCTTCATGGTACATGAAGTTTCTGGACTTGATCGTATATAGGGGCACATATTGTTGGAGAATCCTATACTAGAATAAAGAATCACTCTCAATTCTCAGTTTTCATTTGACTGATGAAAGTTCCTTGATTATCCCAACTAGTGATTTGTTTTCATAAATCCTAGTCAAAATATACACCCCGGTGTAAACTTTATTCAAAACATGTGCAATTCTTACATAATCCTACTTAACATTTAGTGGCTTAGCTTCGTTAGTCAGTCACCTTGATAATCGTTATCATATAAATCCCAAGTGTTTGAATTCGGAAGGCAATAAGAAGCGGCGACTACAGTTTATTAACGGATAGCACGGATAGAAAAGCTACAAGGACATCGAGTGGATTTGAAGCAGAGAGGCGAATCAATGTATACGAGCGAATACGGAGGCAAATTTATGGTCAAATCAAATCAAGGCGCAGCTAGGTAAGGCAAAGGCTAATACACAGGATTCGAGTACATATATACATTGGGAAGAGAATGATATATCGAGCGATCTTTAATATATTAACATTTTAGGTAAAGAGAGATATGTACGTAGGCTGTCTTGTGATCAAACGTACACGTTTATGCAGACAACATAATAATCATAATAGTATAAAGAAATATTCGAATTGTTACTGTTCTAATAACACTGTCTGTTAAGTAAGTTAATAAAAGGGTTTAACAAAAATTAACCATAATCGAATTTGATTATAGAAGAGTTGCTATAATCACAGAATAACATCTGCGCTCACAAAATATGATTCCCATCAAACTTGAAAATTTTCTGTTGTTTATTAACAAGATCAAGCTAACCGTGTTCTTTTAATACACTAGATCCATTCACATATAGTTTATTGTTTTTAAACAATTAGCCACATGAAGCATTAGCCGGATAAAATTCTGACTGAACCTAAAACACAAAAGTTAATATTCAGACACCATAAACCTACCTGATGAACTACTATTACTACCATCTAAGCACTGGATTCAGTGAATGAACCAAATCAGTCTTTAATAAAAACAATTGATAGTTGCATGGATTTTTGACATAATATCTGTAGTCAGATAGTTGTTGCCTTAAATAGACTGATTTACATAAATAAAAGTCACATTTCACTATACTTAATTTTGTAACTAGTGTAAAATTTATGGTAGGTTTTGACAAAATGAGTAAATTGTACATACAAAGTTATTGTAATTCATTTATTTACAAAGAATTAACACAGTCAACTTTAACACTAATGTGTAACTTAATTAATCTTCACATTATACTCATTTACATGAGAAATTTGTTGGTTCCTACTTTACACATCTTGAAGTCACATATATATTAGCTGACTGAAGTCAATGAAATGAACAATTGTAAATATCTAACTTGAAAATTAATAACCAGAAGACTTTAATAAGAATTTCAACAAAAATACTATAATAATGACCAAGACGTATACATAGAAATTATGAACTGTGAATGTTGACCGGGTTATAAATCTTAGCAATATTCTGTGTTCTATTTAATATATTGACCAGTTTGAAAAAAAATTAAAAGATTTTCTTTAGAGTTTTCATCAATGTCAACCTCGTTTTGTAATTATATATCATTTAAAATAACTGCCAATCATTTATGTAAATTCAACGTTGACAATACATGAAATAAATATTTTTTCAGTTATAACCTATTCTTAACTTTGTGTTGAGTAACAATATAAGATTATCATTTTGGAATTGTGAAGATTGTTGAATTTCATTGAAATCAGGGATTGATCAATGTTAGACAACACTTTAAAACCTGGAAGAACCGGATGGCCATTTCGTCCTAGTATGGGACTCCTCACCAGTACTCATTCACAATCAACAATCCCCACAAACTAAAACTAAATATTACCATGTGCTCACTAGTGACTAGCTTTGAGAGGTAACTCTCAGAGTTCTAATGAGTAGCCGTAACCACTGGAGTCCAACAGTGTCAGGTGTGAGATAGTTACCCACCGAAGACAGTGGAAGATAGCTTCTCAATATCATGGATTGGTTAAAGTTAGACATTAACATCGTTGAATGCTGCCCCAGTGGTCTAGAGGTTAAGCATCCTTGCGAGACTGAAGGTTCTTGGTTCGAGTCTCATGTTCCGGATCATGGATACGCACTTATGAGGAGTCTCATACTAGGACGAAAAGATTGTCCAGTGCTTCCAGTTTCGCAGTAATGGTCTAACATTAATCGGTTCATTATTTCAATGAAATATAAGATTAGTTTGAATCATCTGATTTGATTGAAATATGAAATATGTTTCAGTACTCAAACAAACGTTTCAAGAATTTAACTTGAAATGCCATGTTCTTTTTCCATTGTGGTTAGTGACATCAATGAAGTCGGTGTAAAGAGGTGTAAAACTATGTATAACTGATAGGTTGGAAGTTAGGTACCACAACCACTATACCAACTTATCAACGTGAATAATTACACAGATTATCATGTTTTTGACTTTCAGCACTCATTATTTTCGTGTTCATTACCGACCTCACCAAAGATCCAAACCTAAAACCTTCAAACTTTGAGCCCATACTAAGACGACATAGATGTTAATCGCTGAGTAGAGTTAAATAGTTATCTCAATAAAACCAGTTCCTGATGCAAACTGTAAACAATCTACCGAAACAACATGTTTTAACATGTTTTATTATTAGGTGGAAGTAGTCAGTAAGAAATCTTGCTTGATCTAGGTAACGTGCTAATTGCATTCACCAGTAAATTTTACTTGAAATTTTTGGGAATTGATCCTCCTTGTTGAACTCAAATTTATTCCGACGGTGACTGACCGACAGATTTCGATAAGCACTAAGAACTAAGCAACATAAATATCTCTGTTCTACAAGAGACTTTTTAAATAAATAACATGTTCATTTGTTAGAGGATATTTTCATTACTATACATAACCTAATACCGATTGTGTGTATTCAATTATTATTACAAATTGCCAAAAATTATTGTTAATAGATATTATCAACAATTGTGAAATAATTTATTTGTAGAAAAAAAAGCGAGCATTAATATTAACCGTCCAAGTGAAGACCCCCTGCCAGTAATAATAATGTCACCGATTATTTTGTCCGTATATTATTCCAACGAACAGTTAAAACAATAATTATAATCAAAAATTAATATTTAAATATATTTAATATGAGACAAAAGTATTATCCCCCATTCTATCTCTCTTACTCTTCAATACATGGATAAAACGCATACATATAAGTTCATATATACATATATACTGACGGCGTGGAAAAATAAATTCATCATATGGATCATCAACTGTAAAATCAAAAAATATGTTGACAGCTTGACACAAAAAATGAAAACCACTTTTTAACAGAACATTGTTAAACTAAGATAAAAAGTTATTTTCACAACTAATTTTGTTTTCAAAAAAATTCAAATTTGTTATTACTGTTCCATGATTCTTTTGTTTATACAAAGACCTATGACCAATCTGTGGACAGGGTATTCAATAATTTGTATGTATGTATTTCTCTAATAGAATGGTATCAAAACTATATTTCGTTTTTGTAAATAAAAGATAAAATATTGTGTTATAGTTAAAGATTGACCATAAAATT